CTCTGTGTGTGTGCGTGTGTACAGACCTCTACTGCGACTCCCCACTTACCCCCCGGGTGTCGTCACAAAAACACGGCTGACGGAAGTGCAAGCGGCATCCAGCAGTGAAGACAGCAAGATTATTATTAAGGCAAAAAGGAGGAACATGGAGAAAAGTATAACAGCTATACCTGCAGCTATATACACAGGTATATACGTATGCAAGGCAGATAGAGTGATGAAAGGAGGACGGAGACACAAAAAAAAAAACACACACACACCGGTGCAATGGTGTGACGTGGTCCGGCAGCACGTTCGCGTCTATACATCCAGCGGGATAGCGTTCTCACGGACCCACGCCTTGACGCAGTCAACATCCGGCTGCAGCGACGCTGGCCAGCTGACGTAGTCCAGCAGCAGTAGTAACTCCGCCAGCGTGGCGTCCTCGCAGTCGTCCGGCAGCAGCTGCCGCTCATGCGCCGCCTTAACGAGCTGCCGCTGCAGCTCGGTCTTTGTGCGGTTGAGGTCGTATAGTTGGTCTTGCAGCGTCTTCATTTCCTCCGCGACTTCGGCCTGTTCCTGGTGGGACAACTCGATGCGCTTCTGAAACAGCGCATGCTGCTCGCGGAGGTACAACATGTCCCCCCGGCACCGCCCCATCTGGTCGTTGGAGGCGACAGCCTCAACAAGGAAGTGCTCGCGGGCGCGCTGGTTCCACCTGAGGATGCAGCGCGCGTGGTAGTTGGCGCGAATTCCGGTGGCCTTCATCTCCCGCGTCCGCATGGCAGAGCTCCACCAGGAGTTGCCGGCGTCACACTCCTCGATGGCTGTCATAGTGGCCACGCACTCGCTGATCTTGCGCAGCGAGCCCTCCATCGCCTCCACCTCATCCCGCAGTTGAGTGCCGGGGTCAAAGCGGGGCACGTCCGGCTCCTCCGCGTAGTCGCTGACGGACTGCTCGTCGCTGAGGCCCTCGTCGGCCGCCGCGAGACGGGCGCGGTTGATCTCGTCCTGCAGGTCCTCCACGCCGCTGCCTCCCCGAGTGACCTCCGCGAGCCTCTGCGTCCGTGACGGCGTACGCTGCAACCGCGCAAGTAACTGACGACGCGAACGGCGTTGCAATAGCTGCATGATCGGCTCCCCAGGTGCGTCGCCCCCCACGGCCGCATCTTTGACCTCCGCCGTCGGCAACGGGAGCGAAACACTAACGCGTCCAAAGTCAACGTCCAGCTGCTGCAGGATCTCGCGAAGGCTGTTGCAGACCGTGCGGATGCTGGCAACGTTCCGCCGCTGTTCCGCAAAGATCGGCGGCAGCCGTCGCGTGCGGGGCGTCAGCTGCACAGAAGCATGACCCGTGTTGCCCCGGGTGGCAGAGCCGCCGTTCCCACGCATTGGGGAGTTCGGGGCGTGCAGCTGCAGCCCAAGCTCGGACGATGGGTGGTGGCCACTGGAAAGGGTCCTGATGGCCTCCAGCTGCGCAAAGATGGACTCCCGCACGGCGGCGGCGTCGTCGCTGGTGGGCCGCTTCGGAGCCCGCATCGCCACTGTGCGAGCAAAAGGAAAGGCAAGCACACACACACACACACACACACACACACAATAAATAAAAGTAGCGAGTGGGATTAAGGGGTCCCCTGCTGCAAACTAACGAGAATGAAGGGAGTGACCCTGGGTTGTACGTGCTTGCTTCAGCTGCACTAAGCTGTGCGTTGAAGCGGGGGAGAGGGGGGGGGAGAGAGAATAAAAACAAAGAAAAAAACATAGAAGGCGCAGCGACGCGCGTGTGGCACAGACAACACCGTGTCCCCCCTCGCAGCACACACGCACGAGAGAGAAATACAGAGAGCGAAAGCAAGAGAAAAAGCGGAGCGAGCGCAACGTCCATAACAGAGGCACTTAGGGTGCCTTATGGCTCCTCTTCACAGGTGGAGCTTGCCTGTGCCTGCATTTTGTTGTTGTTGTTTTTCGTTTTTAGTAAAAGTCAAGCACCAGCATCGTCCCCATCAGCGCCAAGGCGGAACTCTCTAACGCCGCCACCGCGCGCTGGGATCGCAGAGCCTCAGCCGTCGCCTCACCCGTGGTCCTTCGGACGCCGGCCGCCGCCTCGCTTGTAGCGACTTTAGTTGTAGCGGCGGGGACGGCACCACCGACAGTAGCTGCCGCCGCCGCCGTGAAGGGAGCCACTTGACTCGCCGCAGCTTGTCGCTCCAAAGAGAGCCGGGCGAGCGTAAGACGGAGGGCCTTGGCCACCTGCATGCGAACGACGGGGAGCAGGTCCTTCTCCAGACTGCAGCCCCATAAGAACACGGAGTTCTTCGGTTGGCGATCTGCCATCACGCCGCTCTTTGGTACCTCCTGCTGGCGAACGTAGCCGTCGCGCAGCATGGCGTGCAGCACCTCACGGGTGCGGGGAAGCGTGGCGATGGCCTCCTCCGCGAGCATGCGGTCCTCCATGTTGTGATGCTGCAGCAGCAACTTCATCAGCCGCACCCCAAGCACCCCATGCCGCGCAAACACCAGACGCTCACAACAGTCCCGCCGCATCGCATCGATGGCGGCATCATAGCGGAAGCGGTAGGGACCCTCAATCGCCACAGTGGCAGTGCCGTCGTTGCTCAGCAGCGAGTCCCCATCCGGGCGGCACATGCGGCTCACCGTCTCTACGACGGCGCCCTCCGCCAGGGGGACCTCCCGCAGCAGCACGCGCAGTGGCAGTGAGACGCTGGCGCGGGGGTGCACCGGCGGGAACACAGGCGAACGCTCCTCTAGGCGGCGGCCCCGCCCCGCCGTCGCAAAGGCCTCCATCACGGCAGCCGCCACACCACCGTCCGCGAAGCGTTCGGCAAGAAGTTGGTGTTGAATAGCGTCGTGCAGCATCTCAGCGAGAATGTTGCCAACGTGCAGGCGGCAGGGATCCGGCGAGAGGGCCGCTGTTGGGGTCGCCGTGACGGCCGTCTCCACGCTTCTTCCGGCGGAGACAAATTCAATGAAGCCGAGCCGCTCCATCTCGCGCCCGCAGTGCCGCAGTGCCTCGCTAAGTGCCGGCCGCCGCTCCATCGCAAGTCGCAGCGCAGCCTCCCACGGCACCGTCGCCAGCTGGTGGAAGACCATCAGCAGCGTCACCCCTGTCTCACCGTAGCGGCGCTGAAAGAACTGCATGACAAGTGGAAACAAAGTGCGCAGCAGCAGTCCGTAGCCGAGTGCCACGCCGTACACGTGCCGCTCAGCATCGTAACACACAACGCGGTGAAGCACAAGCCGCGCCATGAGCTCCTTGATGGCCGCGTCCGTGCCCACGTCCCCCGCCACTGCGGAGACGGATAGCGGGCACCCCACGCGCCTCGCCGCGTCGCCGGTGCTGAGTGGGTTGCCAAACGGCTCCCGCTTCACGGCGTCAGCGAGTCCCCGTAGCGTCAGAGCGCCGCGCCGATTGAGCGTGCGCACAAGAAACCCCGCCAGGGGCCCCAGCTGCTCGCTGACGCTCGACTCCAGCAGCTCTGCGTGCTCCGCCAGCATGCGGGCGTGCTCGTCGTGATGACTGTCATGCCACACCCGCGCCATCACCCCCCCTTCCCCCGCCCGCGCGCCGTCTCCTCTGCGCCAGTCAGCAATTGAAACGTCACAACAAGCCCACACGTGTGTGTGTGGCAGCCGGAGCGGAGGTCGCTGCTGCGGTGAAAAGGAGGGAAGGGAAAAAACTAATAATAACAACCAAAAACAAAAGCAACAAAACTAACAGGGAATCGCCCGCCTCGTGAGGCCGCGGCTGGTAAGCTGCAGAACACGCACAAAAAGGATAAAAAAAAAAAAACTACTCCTACCGCGGCAACCGTT